TTCGAGTACAACCAAGCATGAGGAGCGAGCGCATGTTTGTATCAGTCAAAACGAATGGCCAGAATTCCAGCTGTGCTGCAGCTTCATACTGATAAAAGATAGTTTACAGCCTGCCCACGAGTCTCTGTTTAAATGTCTGAGTATGAGACTATGAGGTGTGTGATTGTATGCGCTCCGACTGACCCTCTCAGGAAAGAGCAGTCACAGGTTCACACCGGCCCTGACCTTTGACCTCATCAGGAGTGCCCAATCATGCCCAGGCAGGGTCAGAGAGCTGGGGGAACACAGACGTGGCTCTCTGACTGTCAACGTTATCATGACTGATTCACGTATTGCTCTATCCAGCAGCCCTGTTACGGGCCATTTAGCAGTGTGGAACAGACACGGGTATTAATCAGATGCATGACCGATACGGACACTCACCAGGACGTTTAAGTAGAAGAGATTCCAGTTATTATTATTATCTTACCTCAGTAGTGGCTTCTTTGAATCATTTTACATTTTATGCTATGACAACTACATTAGCAGATGTTTCTATTTATTTTCCTCAATAACACTGGCTAATGAACCTTCATGCTTTTCAAGCGAATTCATACAAAATCACCACACTGTAAAACAGTTACAGTTTCTAATGAAACTGGGTTGGTTATTCTGAATGTTTCCCAACTATGTTGTGCAAAAACTCTTCAGAGCAAAGAACCAGAGTTGATTTCTCTTGAATCTATAGATTAAAAATCAGCTAATTTGAGTTTAAATTTTAAATTAGACATTTAAATTCTTTAAGAACAGCATATGGTAGATAGTTGACTCAGAAGTGAACATTCAGTCGTCATCTGTTCACTCTCTTGTCTTTTCATTCTTCCATGGAACACAAAAGCAGATATTTATACTGAATGTATTAGCTCCTCTTTTCCATAATATAAACTTCTTTTATTATGTTTGTATAATTTATTTTTGTGCATTTTTGAGTATAAAAGTCCCTGGTATTCCTTTAAAGGGGTCATATGATGCGATTTCAATTGTTCCTTTCTCTTTGGAGTATCACAAGCTCTTGGTGCATAAAGAAGATTTTTTGCAAAGACTAAAGTCTCAAATCCAAAGAGATATTCTTTATAAAAGTTAAGAGTCAACCACACCTACCTAATCTTGATTGTGAGAAAGAAGTGCACTTAATTGTATTGCATGCGCATTTGTAGTGTACCAAAATCTTAAAAGTATATAAAAAACACTACTTGCAGATAATTACATAATATTAATTACATAAAAGGCCAATTAAGTGAACTTAAAAGAGAGACACTTTCGTGATTGTTTCTAACTCATTTAAATACATTTTGAAAAGCGCTCTTTGGAATTATATCAAATAATTACATTTGAATTGTTATATCTTTTGTCATGATTTATAGAAGTACACGTATTTTGATGTGTTGACTAACATACTAAAGCACTTGTAAAGTACTTGATTATCATTTTAACTGTGTATAATTTAAAATTACATTTAAAGTTAATATATTTTAGATGTACTATATTGCAGATTCATCATTACAAATGTGCAATTATACATAAATACATGACATACAATTTTCAAATAAAATGACATCTTAGTTCTCAAAAATGCTTGTCCGCATTCAGCAGTTCACTTTAACCATATTTCAAAGACAATAGAAGTAACTATGAAATTACATATAAAAATGTATGTTCAAGCACTCCTAATTCAACTAATTGCACTTAATATCAATTTAAACTATAATACATTTTCATTTAATTATAAATAACATCCAATTAAATAGCCGAAAACACGGCAATCATTTCACACTTAGTCTAATTGGTATTTTTATATTATATTGTCATTAGTAAGTAAACATAAATAACACAATGGATTTATCTATAGAAACTACGGCTCCAAGGCACTTCTTCCAGTTCCAAAATGTTAAAAAGCCTTTATTCAAACATGGCTCACTCTATAAACATTAAAAATGACTAGAACACTGCACACTGATGCATTTCGGCCATCCAGCCTTCCTCAGAGTGTGTCAAGTACAAAATTAGTCACAGGTGTAGATATAATCAGTTGCTCAATAGAAATGGGAGAAACCAAAATACTCATTACAGGGGGGACCAATAGCATCATTAACCATTTCGAAGTATAATCACATGTACAAAAAAAAAATAAAAATTATATATATATAACTTGATAATAATAATAATGATCGTACTGATAATCATTTCACAAATATGGAGCGTTTCTAGAGTGAGCCATGTTTGAATAAAGGCTTTTTAACATGTTGGAACTGGAAGAAGTGCCTTGGAGCCGTAGTTTCTATAGATATAATTTTGAACCCTACCAAAGAGCACCTTCTGGGACTATTAAACGGAGGTCCTTTCAGCAAGTAGCGCTCCAATATGTTTTCTTTGAACACAATGGATTTAATGAAAAGTTATTATCACCTGGAGCAAATACCACATTGTTATTTTCAATAATATAAATATTAACAAATAATATTATTTTGAAATGCAACGTGGACAGCGTATAACCAGTATACTGGACTTCAAAAAAATATCTGCCATTTTTTTTTTAATATTTTATAAGAGTAACGTTCTCTAATGGCAAATGTAAAGAAAAAAAAATCAGTTAAAAATGTGGGCTCATGTAAAGAAAAATAATATTTAAAGTAAATACTGTATGTACAATGCATTGCAGTATTCAGAAGTTGCCCTGCCAGTTGTTGCCAAACACCATGTAAATCTATTTTCTATTGCAAAATTGTGTTTTGCTTGTGGAGATTGATGTCATCAAATTAGACGAGCTGTCATTGCTCTTCTCACACCTGTTGTTCAAAGTGGGATATGTGCTTTTGAAACTATAATGAGCACTCAAACTGCTCCCTGAATATCTTTCACTCCACCCTTTTCTGTGTATATAGATGTACGTAAGCCAAAATGCTTTATTGATGAGCACACTTAAATGCTGATCTTGCCCAACCAACACACACACACAAAGAATACTAACAGAGAAGCACATGAGAACACTCATTGTCTTGTAAACTGACTGAAGGAGCGTCGTCCTCAAACATGTTGTCAAACTGGCTCTTCAAAATACAGAGTCAGATCAGTGATTTATTAGACACTATTCAGAAGTGGATACAAGTCAGAAGCAATATGAGACTGTATGAATAGCTTGTATAGGGTCAGCTGTGCCAGTTTTCACTTAAAGCTGCTTCCAGGCAAGGAGAAAAGAGCTCAGTTTAATACTTAGTATTATTTATACTTTTGAAAATTAAAAAAAAAAAGCATCTGTAACAAGGGGCTATAAAAATAGGACTTACAAAGTGACACAGCTTGTCCCACATTCCAAGGTATAAGTTCAAGTTGTTGGTGAATATGTAAAAGGTTCAGTGATTTCAAATAAAAGTATTAACATAAACGAGTGGCGAAAAAACTAAACATGTTTAGCCTATTAATGCACAATCCCATTTCAAAGTTTTATTCTTGTTTATTTGTTTGTTTGTTTTCAGATCCACAAAGCAGCTATGAAAAGGTTTAGGTTGAATTTTTGAATGTATCGAATGCATTTTTAACATTGTAGTATTATTTCCTGCATTTGCAGGCAAATCTGTATTAGTAAAGCTAAGCGTTTTCAGCGCTGACTAATCTAAGCGCCTCTGATTGGCCACTGCATTCCTAAGTTCAACAGGAACGCGTGTGATAGGTTATAAGGCTCAACGCAAAAAAAAAAGAAGAAAAAGAAAACACGGCACGTAAATCTGATGCAGTCTGAGAGAATCTAAATGTAATTTCGCGAACTGATACTTTTCATTCATCAGCCATAATACATTATTTAGTTGTGCAAGGGCCATTTTTGCCCCTTTGTCTTGAATTTGTGGGACCTTTTTGTTCATTTTGGTGGCATTTTTGGCCTGTTTGCCTATATAAACATATACATATTGATATCTAAATCTAAACATACCATAATAAATATAAATCGAAACATTCTTAAATCAAAATACATTTACTTAAAGACAGGTGATTGATGACCTACATGGCAGTTGCTTCCTGAAGGAAAAGTATTGCAAACACAATATTCCCAGAAGGTTGGGGATTATTTCGATCACATTTATCAGTTTAGCATTCAGGTTAAGAGATCCTGTTTTCATGCCTCACTGATTAGACCACATCTCTTACAGGGTAAATCGTGTCATCTTTCCAGGAGAAGCCTACCTGTATCCCTCAGACAACAGACCACCTCCGGTCTAGGCGGTTTAAACTATTGCTCTGCTGAAGTCAACTTAAGTTGAATGGAAGAAGGATAGGGGCGCTTGAGATCACTATCTCTTCTAGCAATGTTATGTTGAGCGGACCCCCATGTTTTACAAAAGAATCCTTCTCTTGATTTATCAGCCGGCATGGCTTGTGAATGTGGCAAGTGTTCAGTCTGAAGAATAATTGCAGTCCTTGTTAAACAATAGAGAGCTTTTAGGAATTAGGAAGTGCTATGATTTTTAAGGAATAATGATGTATGTGTGAAAACTTTTGCTGAAATCCAACTGAAAAAACAACAACATTAGAGCCACAGTACACACACTAGACGACTTCAGACAAATCAAAAATGTTCAATTAAGTTAATCGAAGGCCATATCACAAACATGTATAGGCTATGAGCTCCCAACATACTCAAATTTGTAACTATTTTAGTTTCGGTAAATTAATGGCTAAAATGGATGGCAATAAATGATAGCATATAGGCTAGTTGCACTATTTTTTTCTTACAGTTCACTTAGATCCATATTCTTTAAGTTCCTCAGTCGTTTTAAAGTAAAAGGTCAGAAGTATGCTGTCTGTTTAACCAGATAAGGCAAAAAAATGCCTTTCACAAGTTCACATTAACATAAGTGAGATAAATGCAAGATAAAGGTAAATATATTATTGGCACTCTGTCCCCGACGGAAGCAACACATCTGGACTTCTTAAAATGTAGGAATTAAATAAAAAAAGTGAAGACGAAGTTAGGATGATTGAAAAAATTTCATTGGAGTGACCACAATAGTTTGAGCCTGTAGCTCATGATGCAACACACACATATGCACCTTTAATAAAAATATTCAATTTCACAGAATACAAAGCTGTACAATACTTAAAAAAAATCACCATAATAATAAAGAATATTATTCACAATAATCTGAGAAAGTCCATGCTTATGTCCCTAATATCATCACAGTGCTGGTCTCCATACACTCAGTCCGTGTAAGTCATACACGTAAGGCCGGTATGGATATGATTTATAGACCGTCGCTAAAAGCGAAGCTCTGAAGAAGTCCTCCTCTGTAGCTCCAGCCGTGGCGTCGGGTTTCTGAAAGTCTGTCGTTAGCTGCCTCCGCTTGGTTTTATATCTCCTGTTCTGGAACCAGATCTTCACCTGCGTCTCCGTCAGGTGCAGCGCGCTGGCGAGGTGCGTGCGCTCGGGCGCGCTCAGATAGCGCTGGCGGCTGAACTTCTTCTCGAGCTCCAGCACCTGCAGGTGCGTGAAGGCGGCGCGAGACCGCTTCTTCTTCCCGCCACCGCCGCCGCCTCCCGCCAAATCCGCGGACGACTCTGATCTATCCTCAGGGCTCCGACAAACCGACACATCCTCCGAGTCTGTGAACGTAAGTACGATACATTTAGGGTTTTAAACTCAGTTTCTCACAGGAAAACTCGTCTCAGAATACATCTAAACCTGACAGAAATCCCCTTACGAAAATTAACAATGGGTTTATTACTAATAAAACCAAAAAACATGGTTACTGTAGTTTTGCTAGACCAACCATAGGTATTTGTAGTAAAACTGTGGTTATACGAATGGTAAATGGTAAAACATGGTTACTACGCTTTTAATACAATAAAACCATGGTTAATTTTCGTAAGGGCAGCTTCTCACAGGAAAACTGGTCTCAGAACATATCTAAACCTGACAGAGATCTGTACTAGCTAGTACAAATACAATGTCAGGTCTACTTTTAACTAACTTTCGAAAATTAACCATGGTTTTACTACAAAAAACAAAACATGGTTCTTGTAGTTAGGCTATTACAAAATTAACCATGGTTCTGCTACACTAACCATAGTATAACCACGGTATTTGTAGCCTAGTAAAACTGTGGTTATACAAATGGTAGTCAATCCGCCAAAAAAATAAAAAATAAATTAAAAAAACCTGGTTACTACACTTTTACTATGCTATACTAAAACCATGGTTAATTTTCGTAAGGCATACATATTTAGTTTACCTAAACTACCTATATACATAGGCCTGTGTAGCTAACTGCCTACTAGTTTGGCATGCAAATCATATAACTGCCTAATCTTAATTAACTAAGCTAGAAGTGTACTCAGAAATGGTCTTCAAAGTGCAGTACCTGTTCGTCCGTCTGTGCTGTCGGCTCTGTCGCTCTCAGATTTGCAGGAGTCATCTTTTTTACCCTCTTTTAAGGATAAAATGTCCTCTATGAAAAACGACGTCAGCTGCTTGTTTGAAGCCGCCATCTACGTTGCTAAATTCCTGTTAAAGGTAAGGATAAAGCGTCTTCTTCCTCGGGGTAAGTAATTGGCACTTTCACTCTCCAGCTCAGCTGCTTGACTTTAAATAGCGCGTGAGTGCTGCTGTCTCTTCCACTATTGGAGGAGCGTCCTGTGCTGCGTCATCGGTCCAGGCTCGCTGATGGCTAAAACAGACACGTCTTCGTGGACCATCATTCTGTCTAACACAGAGACAACTGCTGCTTGTCCTGAAGTCTTAATAAATTTACTCAGTATAGATATTTTATTTATATTTACTTAGCTGTCCTCCCAAACGCAATCTTATATAAGCATAATATATAATAAATGTATAATATATACAAAATAATAATATTATATTTGTAAAATATACAATAATAAATATACTATATATATATATATATATATATATATATAT